CCCCTTCCCCTCCCCCATTTCTGAAGGAGGGTGTAGGCCCGAAACGTCAGCCTTCCTGCTCCTCTGATGCTGCTTGGTCTGGTGTGTTCATCCAGCTCTACACCTTGTTATCCCAAAGGCTTTTTCTCAAGTTATGGGCATTTCCCCCAAGTCAAATAAAAAAATTCCAGAATCCTCCATCTGAAAACCTAATACACTAGACTGCTTATTTTGTTCTCCCAGTGTAAACAAAACCCCATTACTCTCCATAAAGTCTCTATAATACGGTGTTTGAAAATAAATCATCATAGCTATAGAAATACTTACAGGCCAATCATTAAACTCCTTCAGACACACAGCCAAATTCACATGCCACTAACTCAAGTCCAAAATCTAAAATTAAATGTTAGTAAAACATAAAATACATGTACACTATGCATCTCAACTGCTCCCTGTGGTAGAATTCCACATTCTTTACCTAGGAGTCATGACAATGAATTATTTCTTATTTTTATGAATTCTCTTCTAGATTTATGAATGACTACCCTTGTGTTTCTTAGCTTTGCTCTCACCCTCAAGTGACAACATCTTCCCTACATTTACTGTATCGAGCTCCTTCAAAATTTTAAAAATTTCAATCAGGTCACACCCCCAAAAAACTTTTCTTTTCCTGTCTTGCAGCAAACGACAGACATTAGCTGGCCTATTGGTCCCAGTCAAACTTAGGAACAGGATCAGGACTGTACAACGTGGAGAAAATTCAGAAAACAAGTCCCTCACCTCATCCCCCTCCCTGATAGTCTATATATAAACACTTTGCGCGCACACATCTATGAACAGGGGAACTCCTCCTTGCACTCATCTAACACATCATTTGTCTCCTTCCCACAAATGAGCAGCCTCATCTATAGTTTTACCTCAAATGCCTGACGCACACAGTGTAGCTTCGCCAGGAAGTCCTCATCACTATAGCATTCCAGGAGCTCCGTTCTGAAACACACAAAATGGCTGTCAGCTTTACAAACAGGGACTGAAAAAGAGTTGAATCTGACAGACTGGCAGGCCGAACCCATCTCTGCCCTGTGCTCACTGCTGGGACAGCCCAGGACTTCAGCAAACAACAGCTGGTATTTATATAGCTTCCCCAAAACAATAAAATGACCTAGAGAGCTTCACAGCAGCATAAAATCAGACAAAATTTGACACCAAACAACGTAAGATTGCAGAAAGGTGGAGGGATTTAGGAAAGGAATTGTAGAGCTTGGGAGCTGAAGGAGCAGTCACCCAATAAAATGAGACAAAAGCAAATCAGAGATGCATGAAAGGCTGGAACTGAACCAAAGCAAAATTCTTCCAAGGCTGCAGGGAGGGGTTACAGTGATAGGGATGTGTTAAGCTTCAAACGATGAGAACAAGGCTGAAAATCCTGAGCTAGAGGAAACAAAGATGATAGTGGTAGTGGTGGTAGTTCGGGGTGGGGTGGATATCAGTCCAAATTCCCATCAGAGATAGCTATCTAGCAACAACAGTCACGAAGAACACATGGGCAAAGACAGGATGGAGCGGGGGACTTTGTACCTGCCACCCCAAGCACCAACAATTCACAATCCAACCTCACAGCTGTCTACTCCTGGAGATACACTGCTGCTGGGATACCCTCTCACAGAATAGGAGTTTGGGGAGGGTGAGGGGGGGAAAGCAGCGAGGAGACTGAAGCAAGATTAAGCCACATACCTGTATGATCTGCAAGCAACCCGGTCATCTCCAACAACCTTCATGGCTTCTTCATATAAAGCAGACGATCTGGACGACTGAAATCTTTTCTCATCGAATGATAAAGAATCAAATAGCTACAGATATAAAAGAAGTGTGGATCATATTTAATTTTTTTTTGCACAACACACATGGTGGCTTAAATGTTGTGATAGGACACAAGTTCCCTGAGTCAACATTCCTCTTCCTCCACATGTCCTTCTATGTCCAGTGTTGACCAGTGGAATCTGCAGTATTGTAATTTGAATCTGACCTGGAAGCTTCTGACAGACCTAAATGCAGAAGGGGAGCTGGCCTTCTCACACACTGCTTACAGCTGCTGGATCTATTTTAAGCAGTTTTATTTCTCATTGGAAGGCCCCTACAAACTCCCCCACAGGCCTCATTAGATACCAGAATCATTCAACCAAACAGATGAGAAGATGCCAGGTTCAATCCTCAGTCAGAGGGTTAACTAGAGGATGAGTTACCTCCAGACTTCCCATAATGACTCCCCTGGCCAGCCTCCCACTTTGTACTCTTTGTAAAACACCAGACCTCTGCTGCTGTGTGTCCTAATTCATATCAAGTCCCATTCACCCATCACTGCCAGTGCTTACTACACTGGCTTCATGTCTAGCAATACTTTCAAATTCTCACCTTGGTTTTCAAAAATATTGCCACAGATCCGTAACCTCCTTCAGCTTTACAACACTCAAAGACCTCTGCACTCCTCCAATTCTGGACAAGCCAATATGGTCATCACTGCACCACTGGTTGTCCCTTCAGCTAACCAGACCCAGAATCTGGAATTTCCCCCTCTAAACTGTCCACCACTCTTCAGCATACCTTCTTTCTGTTCTTCTGTTTATTCAACTTGCCCTCCAGATGTATCTATGTTACATTCATCTCATAGTCATCCCTGTGTAAAAAAGATTGTTTTCGCAAATTTCTCATTCGATTTATAACAAACAAACCGATGAAAAATTCAACATCTACCAAAACATTTGCGTTATATGGAGGAAAATGTGGCAATCAATCTGCACACAGCAAGGCTACACAGAGCATCTCTACAGCTCTATTCACAATCTCAGAACATCTCTTAATACATCACAGACAGCCAAGCACTAGAGTAACAACTGTAAAGTAGACAGACTGGTAAGCCAATTTGAACACAGCAAGGTTCCACAAACAGCACGGAGATAAAACCACCGGAAAATCTGCTTTTCGTGCGCAGTTGACTGAAACACCAGGCAGAATTCCACTGCCCTTTGCACTGGGTCCACCAGAGGTGGAGGCAAGGCCGCAGTTCACATTTTCATCTGTTAGAAAAGAACTGTTAACTCTATTACAAAGGTCGGATGTAATGCAGTTCTTTCCCCATTGGGACACTCTAGGACGAAAGGGCATAATCTCAGAGTAAGGGGGCTCCCATTAAAGACAGAGGCGAGGGTGGTGAATCTGTGGAAGTCTTTACTGCAGAAGACGGTCACAGCTGGATCGATAAGTATGTTCAAAGCTGAGATAGATAGATTTCTAATCATTTAGGGAATCAAGGTTTATGGGGAGAGGGAGGAAAGTGGAGTTGAGGATTCTCAGATCAGCCATCATCTTGAGTGCAGACTGGACTTCATTGGCCAAACAGACCACATCTGCTCCCATGGCCTATGTTCTTGCACCCATCTAGCACCTTGCAAAATGATCAGAAAAGCTTATGCTGGCTTATCGTTCAATTCAGTGAATAAAATCTCTGGCTGGGTTGTGGAAATGGTACCATTACAAAATTTCTGAAATTGGTGTTGGAGGAGGAGGATTAGATTTTCTGACTCACCAGATCACTGTGACAATGTATCAAAGCTTGTGAGTTCACAAAGCCATGATATAGTCTATCGCTCAATCTTCCAAACTGTCAATACAGACTGGTTGGATTTTGGCTGTTGGGCACTGAATGGCCAGAAATTAAACAGTCAACTACATTCAGCAAACATGACCAAAATAGGTGGCACAAAAAACTGCCAAGATACAGTTTTTTTCCAAGCATGGTAAAGTGAAATTATATTGCAAATATTAAGCTTGGCAAAATCAGTCAGTTACAGGTGGTGACAGTATGGAAGGAAAGTCTATAAGAAGGAAAGCAAAAACATGCCATGACCCTGGTGTTGTTTCAAAAGGGACCATCTCGGTAATGTTCTGTTACCATCCTAGATTGCACCAAGCAATCAGTTGCCCATTATAGCTCTTAGAGTGGATTCAAAGCCAACGTGAAGCTCTTGAACATCATTAGCTATGTCTGATGTCCAGTGGCCAGGCAAATTAGCTTTATAGCTCCTGTCACAGTTGGGATGCCACAACTATCAACATCCTTCAGCTCAGGGTGAATGAGTTGCACATTTCTGACAATGAGATAAGTGCATACGTTGGGGTGTTGGGGTAAAAAAGGGTGTTGGGGTAAAAAAGGGTTTTGGACTCAAATGTTATGGCTCACAACTTAAGAATAAATGAGCGAGGCACCAATGGCTGGACCCACTTGTGAAAACTGACCACCCGGAGAAGAGATGAGTGCAACCAGAAACCCGTGTAACATCTCACAAAACTGGGTAAACAATTTTTGGGGAGGGGGAGGGGTGGGAAAGGAGGACAACGAGGGAGGACCATACTGAATGCAATAGGTCAAATGGCCTTATTGAGTGCTGCAATGACTGGGTGGATTTGAAGGAAAGACTGATCCAAAACCACGATGCGGCAAACGCCGTGTAAATTCAAGGAGCTCAACAAGACAGAATTGTAAACTCAACTTTATGGCGAATACTCAAAGCTCACCTCTGCTGCTGAAAAGAACGAGTCCTCTGACGTCACACTAACGTCATCATCAAGATAATATTGTCCAGAATCCTCTCCATAGGGAAGGGCCAGAGCCCCAACGCACTCTGGGCAAAAGCAAAATAAAAATGTTTCTTCCATGAAACTGTACTGTGCAAGTCATGCTGAAAATCAGTAGTAATTATCCAATCTATCAATGCAAGAAACCCCCTTCCCAGTTAAAGAATTCACACTTACCAAAATCGGCAAGCAAGCTATTAGTAGGTACAGTCTCCCCAAACTCTTCCTGCAGTCGGTATGCTCGATTCAAGAGGGCTTCCAGCTTCTGTGAAAACTCCTTGTTCCTTGGTGCCTGCTCAATCATTTACATCATTTCATTTTGTTCATTTCACCCTCAACTCAAGTTCCTTTCTACCCTTCTAAAACAACATCTTTGCAAGAAAGCCTCCAGGGAGTCACATTTTGGCAGCGAGGCTCCTACAGTCATCCCCAATGGGACTTGCCAACAGCAAAGGCTGAGCATGTGACAGGTTCAGCTGACCCAACCTTGTAGATCATAGGTTCCCCACTGAGTCACAGACCAGAAGGTCCCAGGTGACTGCAACTAAGTTGGTGGTAAGGTAATGACAATTGGCCTTAGCTGTGATTTAAGAGGGTCGCAGGGAGGAATGCAAGCAGGGTTCATAATCCAAGCCATTTTGTTGAAAAATGGAACTTTTCTCTTTCTTCCCTCTGAATGATTTGGGGCATATCACTGGTTAAATTGCGTTGGAGTCTGACATTTGTTTCTCATCAACAAAAGGTTAGTATTAAATCCCCAGGGTGTATGAACACTCCAACCCCACCTCATTTTTGTTCATTTACGGAATGAGGGCGTCTCTAGCTAGGCCAGCATTTACTGCCTATCCCTAATTGTCTAGATAGCAGTTAAGAGTCAACTAAGGGTGTTATGACCTTGGCCAAAAAGAAAAGCAAAGCATTTGTAAGGTTTAGGAGGATGGGAACTGACAAAGGCGTTGAAGTATACAAGGAAAGTAGGAAAGAACTCGTGCAAGGAATTAGAAGGGCTAAGAGGGGTCATGAAAAGTCGTTAGCAAACAGAATTAAGGGGAATCCCAAAGTTATTTTCAAATATATACAATACATATAAAGAAGCAAGACAGTAGACAAGGAAAGGTTGGCCCACTCAAGGACAAAGGAGGGAATGTAGATGTGGAGCCAGAACAGGTAGGTGAGGCTTAAACAAATACTTTGTATCGGTATTCACCAAAGAGAAGGAATTGATGGAGGATAATCTCAGGGAAGGGAGTGTCGAATTTCTAAGCCAAATTGCTATTAAAAAGGAAGAGGTGTTGTGCGTCTTTATCAGTACTAAGATGGATAAGGCCCCAGGTCTTGATGGGATCAATCTAGAACATGGAGGGAGGCAAGAGAACAAATTGCTGAAGCATTGACAGACATGTTTGTATCCTCTTTGGCCACAGGTGATGTCCCAGAGGACTGGAGAATAGCCAATATTGTCCCATTAATAAGAGCAACTGATAATCCAGGAAATTACAGGCCTGTGAGCCTCACATTGGTGGTAGGGAAATTATTGGAAAGGATTCCCCGGGACAAGATCTATATGCATTTACAAGCAAATGGACTGACTAGCAATAAACAGTATGATTTTGCGCAGGGGAGTTCGTGCCTCATTAACTTGATCAAGTTTTTTGAGGAGGTGATGAAGATGTTTGATGAGGGAAAAGCAGTTGATGTTGTCTACATAGACTTCAATAAAGCCTTTGACATTGTCCCTGAAGGCAGACTGGTACAAAAGGTGAAGTCACATGGTATCAGGGGTGAGCTGGCAAGATGGATACAGAACTGGCTTAGTCACAGGAGGCAGAGGGTAGCAGTGGAAGGATGCTTTACTGAATGGAAGGTTGTGACTAGGTGTTCCACAGGGATCAGTGCTGGGACCGCTGCTGTTTGTGATCTACATAAATGATTTGGAGGGAAACGCAGCTGGTCTAATTAGTAAGTTTGCAGAAGATACAAAGAATGGTGGAGTTGTGGGCAATGAGGAGGATTGTCAGAGGATACAGCAGGATATAGATCAGTTGGAGGCATGGGCAGAAGATTGGCAGATGGAGGTTAATCTGCACAAATGTGAATGATGCATTTTGGAAAGTCAGGTACAGGTGGAAGTTATACAGCGAATGGCAGAACCCTTAGGAGTTTTGATATGCAGAGGCATCTGGGTTTGCAGGTCCACAGGTCACTGAAGGTGGCTGCGCAGGTAGATAAGGTAGGAAAAAGGCCTGTGGCATGCTTCCCTTCATTGGAAGGGGCATTGAGTATAAAGTTAGACAAGTTACGTTGCAGCTTTATAAAACTTTAGTTAGACCAGACTTGGAAAATAGTGTACAGTTCTGGTCACCACATTACCAGAAGGATGTGCATCCTTTTGAGAGGGTACAGAAAAGGGTTACCAGGATGTTGCCTGGTATGGGGGATTTTAGCTATGAAGAAAGGTTGGATAGACTGGGTTTGTTTTCACTGGAACGCAGGAGGTCGAGGAGTGACCTGATAGAAGTTTATAAGATCGTGAATGGCATGGATAGAGTGGAAAGTAGGAGGCTATTTCCCAGGGTGGAGGGATCAATTACTAGGGGACACAGGTTCAAGGTGTGGTGGGCTGGGGTGGGGGGTGTGGTTTTAAAAAGAGATGTGCCAGGCACATTCTTCATACAAAGGGTGTTAAGTGCCTGGAATGCACTGCCAGAGGTGCTGGTGGAAGCAGACAATAGCAGCATTCAACAACCACCTTGCTGAATACATCAATAGGAAGGGAACAGAAGGATACAGACGCTGTAAGTGAAGACAGTTTTAGTATGGAAGGGCAAAATGTGTCGGTGCAGGCTTGGAGGGCCGAAGGGCCTGTTCTTGTGCTTGTGTTGTTTTTTTTTTCTTTCTTTGTTCTATATTGCTTTGGATCTGGAGTCACATGTAGGCCAGACCAGGTAAGGATGGCCATTTCCTTCCCTAAAGGACATTAGTGAACCAGATGGGTTTTTCCGACAATTGACAATGAATTCATGGTCATCATGAGACTCTTAATTCTAGATTTTTATTGACTGCAAATTCTACCAGCTGTCATGATGGGATTTGAACCTGGGTCCCCAGAATATTACCCGAGTATCTGGGTTAGCAGTTCTGCAATAATACGAGTGGCCGTCATCTCCCTTCCATGATCATTTCTCCAGGGCACTGTGCCGAACAACACAACAGAAAAGTCCTAATACAGAAGGATGTTAAACTAGATGTATAAGCCAAGCACTTGTCTAAACCAGAGTGGCCAGTTTGAGAAGTGGCAGTTAAGAGTCAGTTTTGTTTCTGACTTCAGCGTCACAGACAAACACACTAGTTGCAGTTACATCGCCACTTTGGCAATCGCAGGTAAAATATTTTGGCTCCTCACCACAAACCAATGAAGCCACCTCACAACCACTACTCAGACATCCTTACGGCTACAGGAAGATATTACTGTTTTGCAGAGTTAACAGCTCTATGCGGTGTACCTCACAGCTGTCCCCAATTGCACCACTCGCTCCCAGGTTCATCAGACAATTCTTTCTTTCCGTTTCCGAGCTACTCCTCTGTCGCTTGGTAAGGGCAAGTTCCCATTTTTGCAAAGCTTCTTCAAACAGCTCCATCCCTGATCATAACATAGAATTACATAGAATTACACAGAAGGTATAGGTAAAAAAAAAAAAGGACAAATCAGTTCAATAGGTACATTCTGCCATTTATGCTTATTTCACCCTTCTTCATCTCACCCCATCACTTTATCCTTCTATTTCTTTCTCCCTTGCATTTGCCTAATTTTTATTTAACTGCATCTATATCATTCACCTTATGGATGTGAATTTCAATTTCTCACCCATCTCAGGGTAAAGTGGTTTCTCCTGAATTCCCTATTGGAATCATCAGTGACTATCCTATTTTAAAGACCCCTTATTTTACAAATGAAACATTTGGGAACTCTAAAATCAAAGGCTAGCATTAACATTGAAAATTAAGGCATTGTGTCCAACACCTGGGTTTTAAATCACCTACTTTCCTGAGCTCAGAGCAATCTGCTCCTTAACATTTGCCAATATAAGCAGAAACAATGATCAACACAAGAGGTACAATAATTAACTTAACCAACCCAGCCAGAGTACAAAAGTAGAGGAGCACCTAGTTCCCAAACAGGCAATCTAGCTGATCAAAAATCAGGTATAGCCCAGATTAAGAGAACAACAGTTCATCTGAATTGACCCTACAATCTGTTGTAAACCCAAACTGCTACTTTTAAACCTGATTTCTTGTTCTCTTCATATGTATCTGAAGATCTGAATTAACTACTCAGTTCATCAATCCTTCACAAACCATCAATAAAGTCTTAGCGGGATTAGGTGTTTCAATTCTGAGAACGGCACAGTCGGTGGCGTATCCCCGAAGGCTTTTAAGAGGTGGTTTACTAAAATGGTGTCATCAGCTGGAGTTAAGACCCAAGAGAAGTTGGATCTGTTCTCCTTAAAATAAATACATGAGGGTGAATTTTGTAGGGTCTATAGTGAAAATGAGACGAATCAGATAGCTATTGAATCAGGAGCCACAAAAAGCTAGCATCCAACTAGGTGATAGGAAGGCAATTGGAATGTCAATCTCTATTTCCAAAGGAATGGAATATAAAAATACAGAGGTCTTGCTCAGACTATAGAAGGCATTGGTCAGACCACAGCTGGAAAACACAGCAGTTTTGGTCCTCTTATAAATAAGAAAATTCTCATCCTTATTTTAAATCTCTCTCCAAGGCCTCTCCCTTCCCGATTTTTGTAATCTCTTGCCCACAGCCTCCCTGATCTCTGATCTTCTAATTTTGGACTATCGAGTTAACTCAATGTTAAATCACTCCTCCATAGAAAGCTATACATTGAGCTGCCTGGTCCCTAAGCTCTGGAAATCATTTCCTAAACATTTCTATTTCTTCTTTTGATGCAGTCCTTAAAATACAGCTCTTTAACCAAGATTCTGGCCATCTGTCACAGTACAGTATCTCCTTCTGTAACTGAGCATTTTGGCCTTGTATCACTCCTGTGAAATGCCTTGGGACAAGTTATTGCTATTATTGTTACTGTGCGGAAACATTACATTCATTTGTAATGAACACACAGAATAGAAAGATTTCCTACCAGTAATGTATAGGTTCTCAACATTGGAATCCTCTGCGGTCTCGTTCTCTTCTTGAACAGCTCCTGCTTCCCAAGCTTCAGCTGGCAGCCCTGCTGGACTTGGTGAGTTCGCTGGTCGTACCTTTCAGTGAATTATTTAACAAAGAAATGTTCAAACAAAAAAACAAAACAACTTTCATAGAAGTGACTTACTTCAGTGTCTCTAAACAGCCCAAACTATTTATAGACAATTAAACACCTGTTCTTTGAAATGCAGTCACTGCTGCTTCCATATATCTGCTGCCCTTGTATTTCTAGGTAGCAGAGGTAATGGGTTTGAAAACATATGCAGAAGGCACTTGGTAAGAAAGCTGAAGTAGGTCTTGTAGATGGTATACATTGCTGCCACTGTGTGCTGGTGGTGAGGCGAGTGAGTATTTAAGCTGGCGACTGAGGCGCTGATCAAAACTGACTCTTGGATAATACCACTGCAAATAACTCATTGCCTAAAAAGTGTCCATTCCAGCCAACATTTGCTTCCTATCATTAATGTAATATTCACTTCCTATCCATGCTGTCCCTATTCCCTTAATTCTACGGGCTTTCACTTTTTAATAATCCTCACGTGGCACATTCCAAAAGTCCATACATACAACATCTGCAGCACTATCTTCATCACTCCTCTGTCACCTCAAAGAATCCAGTCAAGTTACCCAGAGACGATATACCTTTAACAAATCCATGCCACCTCTCCTTCACTCACCAATGCCATTCCAAATGAAAACTCACTGTCACTGATAATGGTTCCTCACCCCTGGTGTTAAGCTTCCTGGTTCACCTCTTGCCCTTTTCTTGAATGGTGGTAAAACATTAATAGCCCTCCAATCCTCCAGCTCTGTATCCAATGAATGGTGAAAAATTGTGCCAATGCTCTGCTATTGCATCCATAGGAGTATTCCATCTAGGCCAGGTGACTTATCCATTTTCAGTACTGTTAGTCTTTTTCATTCATATTATCCATGAATTATTAACCTTTGCCTAACTTTCTCTCAACAGCTGCTTGGTAGTACAGGCTTCACTTACATCATGCTGGGACCAGTGAGCTGGTGAATGAAACAGCTACTGTTTAGAAGTGGCTTTAACTGAAATTTGGGTGGCAGGGGGCAGAGATCAGGACAGGGGAAACACAAGTTTACAAGGTGATATTTATAAGATGACATTGCAAGACAGCCACTTCGATAATGATGCCTTGAGTGGTATAGATGGGGCACAGTGTATATGCATATATAAACAAAAGATAGGAGAAAGGGGAAAGAAGTGCAAGAAAAGCAAAATTAATGGCTCTTAAATGGGTGTAGGATTTGTAACAAAATAGGTGAATTAACAGCACAAGTAGAGACCAATGTGTGTGATCTTATAGCCATTATGGAGGCATGCTTACAAGGGAATCAAAACTGGGAACCAAATATTCAGGAGTAGGTGGCTTTTCAGAAGGATAGGCAGGAAGGAAAGGGTGGTGGAGTCACTTTTAGTACAAGATTGATAGCAAGAAATTATGTTGAATCAGATAACGTACAATTCATATTGACGGAGGTTAGAAATAACAAGGGAAGATGACACTAGTGGGAGTAGTCTATAGCCCCTTAATCCTAACAGTAGAACAGAGAATGGATTAAGAGATACGGAGAGCATGTCAAAAAAACATGGCTGACTTTAATCTTCATATAGGTAGGGATAGTCAGATTGGCAGAGGTAGCCATGTCGAAGAATTCATAGTGTATTTGGGACAGTTTCCTACAACAAAGTTGGGGATCCAACCGTGAATGAGGCTATTTTGGATCTGGTAATGTGTACTGAGGCAGGTTTAATAAATGGTCTCAAGCATAAAAGATTCTCCTAGGGACTAGTAAGCATAAGATAAAATTTAGCATTCAGTTTTGAGAGTGAGAAACTTAGGTCAGAATCAACTGTGCCAAACTTAAAGAAAGATATTTAGTTAGGGGTGAGTTTCAGAATGAAATGGGAAAGGGGTTTATTAGGAGAGTTGAGACATTTAAGAAATTAGATCATGACTCAAAAAAAAAGCCCAGTAAGGAGGATTCCAGCAAGGGCATAAACCAATAATAGTTAACCAAGAAAATTGAGTACAATATCAAATTGAAAGGAAAAAAATACACAGTCAATAATAGTGGCAACCAGAAAACTGGAAAAGTTTCAAAACCCAATAAAAATGATAAGAAAATAAACAGAGGGAAAAAGGAGCAAGTACGATAAAAACAAACAGTAAGACCTTCTTTAAATATATAAGAAGCGAGAGAGAAGCCAGAGGAAACATTGGTCCCTTAGAGAATGAAGCTGGGGAAACAATAATGGGGAACTAAGAAATTGCAGAGGAGTTAAATAAATACTTTGTATCAGTCTTCATGGTAGAGGACACTAATTCCAAAAATATGGACTAATCAAGCTTCTAAATTTCGGGAGGGTGGAAAAATAAACACAATAACTAACGGTAAAGAAAAGGTACAAGGAAAACTAATAGGTCTCCTCAACTTCATGGTTTTAATCCTAGGATTTAAAAGAAGGTTCATTAGGCTTTTACCCAGTATGGAGGGACAGTCTTATGAGGAGAGATGGAGTAGATTAATTACAGTTTAGAAGAATGAGAGGTAATCTTATTGAAACTTAGAAGATTCTTCAGTGGCTTGTCAGGGAGATACAAGAAACTCGTTTCCCTTGCAGGAAAGTCTAGGACTACAGGGCATCATCTCAGATTTAAGACAGAGATGAAAAGGACTTCTTTTCCCCCTTCTCAGAGGATAGTGAATCTGTGAAATTCTTTACCAAAGAGAATTATCAATACTGGGTCACTGAACATATCCAAGGCTGACATGGACAGATTTTTAAACAGCAAGGGAATCAAGGGTTATGGGAACAAGGCAGGAAAGAGCTGATGATTATCAGATCAACAATGACCTCATTGAATGGCAGAGGAGACTGAATGGATGGAATATAGTCTCCTTCTGCTCCGATGTCATATGATTGCTTGGTTCTTTCAGTACAACATCCACACTACCCAGGACAACAAGGTGCAGGGCTGGATGAACACAGCAGGCCAAGCAGCATCATAGGAGCAGAGAGGCTGACGTTTCGGGCCTAGACCCTTCATCAGAAAAGGGGGAGGGGAAGGGGGTTTTGAAATAAATAGGGAGAGAGTGGGAGGCGGATAGAAGATGGATAGAGGAGAGGATAGGTGGAGAGGAAACAAACAGGTCGAAGAGGCGGGGATGGGGCCAGGAAAGGTGAGTGTAGGTAGGGAGTTAGGAAGGGGATAGGTCAGTCCAGGGAGGACGGACAGGTCAAGGGGGCGGGATGAGGTTGGTCGGTAGGAGATGGAGGTGCGGCTTGAGGTGGGAGGAGGGGATAGGTGGGAGGAAGAACAGGTTAGGGAGGCAGGGACGAGCTGGACTGGTTTTGGGATGCGGTAGGGGGAGGGGAGATTTTGAAACTTGTGAAATCCACATTGATACCATTGGGCTGCAGGGTTCCCAAGCGGAATATGAGTTGCTGTTCCTGCAACCTTCGGGTGGCATCGTTGTGGCACTGCAGGAGGCCCAGGATGGACATGTCGTCTGCGGAATGGGAGGGGGAGTTGAAATGGTTCGCGACTCGGAGGTGCAGTTGTTTAGTGCGAACCGAGCGTAGGTGTTCTGCAAACCGGTCCCCAAGCCTCCGCTTGGTTT